CAGCATGCAGAGGGATCAGGGGCTTCTGAAGGTGAAGGACCCAGATCAGGGTCACTGATGTCCAGGAGACCAGTTCTGGCTTTGAAAGCACCCTCAACCACCCACCTCCCCACTGCTGGCAGGGGAAGGCCGCCATGGCAGGGCACTGCCCCCCACTGGACTTACCCGTTAGCTGCCTGGTGCCCAAGGAGTCGTCTGCTGCAGTGCCAACCTCAGGGGCCAGGAGGAGGTGTGGGCAGCTTGGGTCACTGCTGGGTCTCAGCCAGGCATCTGGGGGGCCAGTGGTACCAGGGGCCAGCAGGGCTGGGGTCAGAGGTGGCAATCGGGTGGGCCGCTGGGGGCCTGGCCACCCTCGAGGTGTGGCCCTCTGAGATCTCAGGGCTGCGTGCCCTTGTAGGGAGCCCCCTGCCCCCAGTCCAGGGCCACCTGCTGACACCACAGCAAGACCCAGCCGGAGGGGCTTACGAGGGAGGCCACGGTGGGCTCAGGGGACTGGGTCTGTGAGGCAGTGTGGACACGGGCAGAGTGCAGGAATGTGCTGGGAGGAAGTCAGGCAGCATGAGATGAAGAGTTGGCTGGGGCCTGATTTCCCATTATAAGTAATCCTTCCTTATTTACCTGAACAAATACGCTCCCTGCTTACCTCAGACTACAGGCGGGCTCCTGGTTAACCCTTGCAGGTCTCTGCCTCCTTGCTGGGGGACCCACACCCTGGCAGCCAGGGAACTCACTCACTCACTCATTCATTCATTCACTCACTTGTTCATTAGTTGATGCATAGCTACAGAGCTCATCTCGTGTGCAAGGCACTGGGGATATATTGAGAGGGATCAGCCAAGGGTGGGGGACAGTTGAGCAAGCAGCATTGGAAAAAGCCCAGTGGAGGGCTGTGGGAGAACAATGAGGGTGGGCACCTGGCAAGGGAAATCAGTGAGGGCTTCCTGGAGGAGGTGTTATCTGGCTCCCCAGGTCAGGGATGGAGGGAGCTTTCAGAGAACCCTGGGGAAAGGGACCTGAGGCTCATGGGCTCACCCACCCCATGCTCTCTGTGCCCCACAGGCCTGGCACAGGCCTGTCATACACTGGTGCTCAGGAAGGACTGGTAGCTCGTTTTCCCAGGCCTGGAGTGGCGGTCAGCCAGCAGCAGCTTGCTCTCCACAGTCCCTGTAGAGGGAGGGAATGAGGTACCCAAGCCCAGGCACCCACTGCCCGGGCTCCTCCACCTCCACGAGTCCAAGGAAGGCCGTGTAGCTGAGCTCTCAGCTTCTTCCTCATCCTGCCCTGGGTTGAGGGTTGTCCCCGGAGGGCAGAGTCTGGCATTTCCTTCCTCTGGATCACCTTAGAAGGGCGCAGAGCATCTGCAACCCCCATGCTGTCAGATGGAGGCGTTTTAGTGTTATTTTCCAATTTCAGAAGTAACTGTGTGACTGCCTACAGTATGAGTATTCTAGGGCTTCAGGAAGATTCCAGGGTCTTCAGAACTAGCCCCCTCACCCTAACCGATGCCAAATTTCTCCAACATATGGTTGCACTTTTCACCCTGGAGAGCCTATGCTTAGGTGTTATCAGAGTTATCAGAGTCGTTCCCCAGAGAAGGTTGAGGTGGGATGGGATGGAGGTCAGGGAGGTAACACAAGGTCCTAAAGTGGCTACAGTTGACCATCCCAGCCCTCCAGGATCAAGCAAAAAGAAAGACCTCCTACATTCCCAGGTGGGACCTCCTCTCCACTCTCACAGAAGCTTGTGCTTATATCAGCACTCTGATGCAGTAATACTAATGGTCACTGAGCAATTATTATATGCCAGGCACTGTTCATAGCTCATGAGATACTAAGGTATTAATCATATTAGTACTATAGCATGGGTAAGTACAAGGAGTATCCAATAAATGCTTATTGAAGGGATGGGGTATCAGAGATAGTTACCCCCAATGTCCATTTTCCTCTGTAAACAAGCCCTACTTTTCACCTGGGAACTTGGCTACCTGGAATTAAAACTATCCCAGACTCCCTTGCAGCTAGTTGTGTGACTAAGTAGAAGTGTCATGTGTCATTTTCTAGGAATCTTTCTTTTTTTTTTTTTTTTTTTTGCTGTACGCAGGTCTCTCACTGTTGTGGCCTCTCCCATTGCGGAGCACAGGCTCTGGACGCGCAGGCTCAGCGACCATGGCTCACGGGCCCAGCCGCTCCGCGGCATGTGGGATCTTCCCGGACTGGGGCACGAACCCATGTCACCTGCATCGGCAGGCGGACTCTCAACCACTGCGCCACCAGGGAAGCCCTAGGAATCTTTCTTAAAAGTAAAGTACCAAGAAAAAAAAAAAAGTAAACTAGCATGTACCATTCACCTCCTTCTTCTTTATCCTTCCTCTGTCTTACTGCCTTCATGGTCTTGTCTTCAAGACAAGACCTTACTTGTCTTCATGGTCCAAAATGCAGCTGTGATGGCTGGAATCTTGGCTGCCATTTTGGACCATGAAGACAAGATGGAGGAGCAGTGAGCTGGAAGGAGCTTAGGTCTCTGAGGACTGCATAAAACCTTCAAACTGGCTTTGGACCGCCTGCCTCAGGACTTTTATGAGAAAAATAGACCTTTGGCTTTTGTTAAGTGGGGTCTTTATTATTCAAAGCCCAGTCTGATTCTATTTGAGATAGACCAGAAGATGGGGAGATAGATGAAGATAGAATACTCTTGCAGCCAGAGAGGATATTTCACTGCTGGGTGGCATTTGTAAGGGGACTGATTATACTACAGAAAACCCTGATTTTGGGAAGGCTGCCCCTTGAATGCTGGTACAGCTTTGCTCTGGGACCAAAGGAGCACTTCATAGGTGTCCTCAGGAATGAGTAGGCCTGAATGGATGGGCCAGACTAAGCTGTGCTAAGCATGGACTGTGATTCTACCAGCCCAGGCCTGGAGTAAGGAAACAAAGGGTGCCTCTGGAAGCTCGAAAGATCCAAGAGGTAGCAAGGAGAGGACTCTCCATCTGCTCAGCTGGGGCTCACATGGGCTAAGGTGCTAAGAGGCTGCTTGGGGTGGATGTCAGTGGTGGGCTCAAGGCAGTTTGGTGCCCACCTGGGGCAACTCCGGTGGGCTCCAGGGGAAGGGAGGGCCAATTAGGGGACTCTGGGTGACACACACCCCTCAGCACCTTGATCCATCCAGCATGGTGTTGTGACACCAGCTCAGGATCTGACCCGAATACACATCCTAGTTCTGTCGCCTTCCAGCTTTGTGACTTTGGCTGGAACCTGCTGGACTCCCCTCTGCCCATGCCCTGGGAACCCTCAGAGCTGTGGTGAGGGGTGAGATAATGTTGTGAAAGTGCTCTGTGAACAAGCAAGTTCCAGGGCTTGCTGACCACCAACTACAGGCCACGTCATTTACTCCCCACAGCAGCCCTTCCAGGTAACTATTACTGTGCCCATTTTTCAGGTGAAGAAACTGAGGCCCAAATGTTTAAAATGCCTTGCCCAAGGTCATAGCTGGGAAGCAGATATAAGCTCAAATCTGAAGTTTCCTCAATCACCTTGCGCCTGATAGGACCCTCTTACTACCCGCCTTGTCCCCTTGGGGTCAAGTCCCAGGTCTCTCGCACAGGTCATTTGGTCTACTAGACCTCCTGCCTCCTGCCCACAGCTCCTCAAGGCTGATCCTCCTCTTCAATTCTCCTCTGGCCAAACCCTCAGGGGGTGAAATGTGCCCCCTCCTGTTCTCCCCCATCCAGACCCCACCCATCTGTTACGGGCAATACCTTCTCTACATCACCTGCTGCAGACCTGGGGTCCAACACACCACCCACTCCATCCTGGAACTTTGCTCTGACCTACTGAGATAACATTCCCTCTGGTCACTGGGGTTTCTAAGCCCTGAGAGTGAGTATTGGGAGCTGTCACCTCCAGGGGGTGTGAGCTGAGACAGCCAGAGGAGCCTGGCAGAGCCATCACTCCATGGACACCTGGATGAACCAGTAATGCTCTTTTTCTGTTGTTCAAATGGAGCTGAGTTCCTTCTACTTCGATTGAAAGCATCCTCATCCTTCGAGCCCCATCTCAAGAGCTTTCTCCTCCAGAAAGCTTTCCCACGTCCCCTCTAGTGCTTGCAGACCTCACATGTCCCAATTCTTTGTGCTCTAATTGTTTCCCAGTGCTTCTTTTCTTCCCAAGATTCTACTCCTCGAGGGCAGGGACCCTCGAGCAGCCCGCAGCCTCAGACCCAACACAGATTATGATTTCTGGAGCAGCCAGCTCCAGAGCTTCCCTCCCTGCGTGCATCCTCTCTTGCACTAGTCCATCAGAGAGTGAAGAGCGCTGGATGGGAGGCAGGCCCCAGGGCTTGGTTTGGCGCTGCCATTTACTAGCCCCCTCTGGGCCTCCCTCACCTCCCCTGTGAAATGGAAATAATACTTGCCCTGCTGATCCTGCCTTGGGGGATCCTGGTGGGGCCTTGTGATGGGTGAATGACAAATGACAAAGGAAGTGGATGTACTTTGGAAAGGGCAGTCTGTCTTTGTCTGTTGGTCAGTTGGTCAGTGAGATTGCTGCCTCCATCTCCTTGGATCCCCACCCTCCTAGGAGCTGTAGCCTGGGAGTGATGGCAAGGACAAGGCTGGGACCTGCGTCAGCCACAGAGAGACAGGGCTTCCAGTTGGTTCTTGCCCTCCCCCTGCCTGGTGGACACCAGGCCCTGCCCTGCCCCAGACTCCAGCTATGAGAAGGGAACAGCCTGGGAAAGGGCTCCCTTGCTGAAGAGTCTGGGGCTGGTCACCCAGATGGGGCCGTGGGGGCAGTGTGGGCAGAAAGCCTGGTTTGTGGGACCCAGAGACCACCCAGCCCTTGCAGTCCAGAGGAAGCCCCTGAGACCAGAGGGGTTAGGGGACAGACCTGAAGGACACACAGTAGGGTGGGGATCTGAGTCCAGACCCCAACCATGCTCTGGATGGGGGGCATGCACTATCTCATCTCATCCTAGTAAGTCCAGCAACTGGCGGCTTCACTGACCTTTCTCACGGCAGATGAGGAACAGAGGCTCCAAAGTCAAGGCTGGGAAGTGGCAGAGGCAGGATTCGGGCTGGGTCTGCTGGAGTCGTCTTTCCAGGACACTGTACTGCAGCTGGATGGTGGACGAGGAGACCAGGAATAGCCAACGGGCGGGGGGGCTGTGTCCTCAGGCCCACATATCCATGCATTGCATTTCCATCACCTGGAGCACGCAGGGCCCCCTGGGCCATGACATGGTGCTCTGCGCAGGCCAGCAAGCATTTACTGAGCACCTATTCTGTGCCAGGCCCTGGACAGGCACTAGGGGCAGGGTGGCCGGGCACAATCTGTCCTGTAGGTGTTCATGGCCTGGTGGCCTCAGAGGGCACAGATGACCTCCAGCATCTCTCCCATCTGTGGGTTACTGGTTTCAGGAGCACCTTACTGTGTGCATGACCCTCTCCACTCTGGGAAAAACCAAAAGGTAGGAGATGCCAAAGGCTTTCCCAGCTCGGGGCCTGGCTCCCCAGGCCCTGGGCTTCCTCACCAATGCCATCTCCTCCTCCTCCTCAGACACTCCCCCCAACCGTGGCTGAGTAGATGGGCCAGTCTTTCCTGTGTCCAAGGCCTGGTTGTACCCACCCTTCCAACCCCGACACACACTCTTGCCTATAGCCTCATCCACCCACCCCATCACTGATTCACACCTGGGATGCCATCTAAGGAGGCCTCACTCCACCCCAGGGCCCCAGCACAGCTCTCAGGGTACCCAGACTTCCCTGTGAACTGAGTCATGCAGAGCTCCTGCCAGAGATGGGCTCCAAGCCTGCGGAACACTGCAGGCCTATCTGGGGGTCAAAGAAGACACACACATACATGCACAAACACACACACACACACACACACACACACACACACACACACACACACACACGGGACATCCTCTCCTCCCCCTTAGGCCCCTGCGATGGTACAGCAGGGTGCTGTCCCAAGATACAACCTCAGCCCTGGCCTGATCTCTGCCTTCTGAATCCATTCACTCCACACATATGTGCTGAAGGCCTACTGTGGGCCAGGCATGGTTCCCTGGGACATAGCACTGAACTTTGGTTGGTTTACATTCTAGAGGAGAAAGATAGTCAACAGGAAAAGTAATAAATGAGTAAATTATATAGTACCCTAGACTCTGATGAGTGCCATGAAAAACAGGGTGTCAGGGGTGCTGGGTGGGGCATGGGGAGCAGCATGAAATATGGTGGTCAGGGCAGACCTCCTTGAGAAGGTGGGATTTGAGCAAAAACAGGAAGCCCTGAGTAACCTGTAAGCATTCCAGGTAGGGGCAAAGCTTGAGCAAAGGCCCTGAGGTGGGCTCATGCCTGGTGTGTTTGAGGAACGTCAGGAAGCCGGTGTGGCTTGCGCAGAGAGCGGGGAGTGGAGAGGGAAAAGGCCAGGGAGGCAGCGTGGCCAGATGGCAGGGCCTGGAAGCCTTGGCCCCTCAATTTCCCGGGTCCTCCTGCCAAGCACCTCCCTTATCCGGGGCTCACTATGAGCCCGGGGCCACGTCAGTTGCTCTACAGAGCGTAACTCATGTCAGTGTCCTGACAGCCCTTGGAGGCAGCACCCCTCTCATCAGTGTCCCTATTCAAACATCAGTGAGGAAACTGAGGCAGGGAGAGGGAGGCAGCTCACCTGGCGAGCCGTGGAGCCAGGAGCCGAAGCCAAGCCTGGCCCTCGGCCGTGGCAGCCCCCCCCCACCTCGGTGCGTCAGTCGCCCCTCCCGACCCCGCTCCCGGGTGCCAGGTACACCCCCTGGCCCGGCCCCTCGTGGGGGGTGGAGGTAGAGGGGCCGCGTCACTACCCACGCCCGCGAGCTGGCTGCTGCCTTTTCCCCATTAGTGCGGGGCTGGCAGCCCTGACAAAACCGCAGGCCCAGATAAGAGCACAATTGAACCTGTTTTGCTCGCAGGCCGGCAGGGGGGCTGGGCCGAGGGGTGGTGGGAAGTGAGGGGAGGCCGCTGGCAGCGCCCCGGTCCTGCTATCAGCGGCCCTGCCCCATTAGCCCCTTTGAAATTTACCCACCTTATCAGGGCTGCGTGCTTTCCGAGTCGGGGGCAGGCGGGCCTTCGTGTCCCGACCAGGAGGCTGCCTTCCGCCCGCTTGCCCGCCCCAGGAGATGATGAGGGGGGCCGCAAGCTGGGAAGGGGCCCCTCTCTCACACGGGCTCAGGCTGCCCGGTCACTGCCCGGTGGGCGCCTCCCAGGCAGAGGGACACCCTGCCCAGGCGCCCCCTCTCACCCTGCCCTGACACTGCACCTCACACCCAGACTGCAGCACCCACTCTCCAGTCCCCCTCCTTGGCCGCCCAGGCCTGTTACATGGCCGACCCCCGAGTCACACCCTCAGCAAACGTTTATTTGCTGAGCACCTGCTGCCCGCCAGGCGCTGGGGCGCAGCAGTGAAGGGACAGACCAATCTCACTCCCCCAGTCTCACTCCCCCATGGGGAGAGAGACAACAAATAAACACAAATAAGTAAGCTAAGAGGGTGTCCGAAGGTGATGACTGTACAATGGGGCAAAAATGAAGCAGGGGTGTAGGATAGGAAGTGTCGGGCAATTTTAAGCGTGTGTGTGTGTGGGGTGGTGGTGAGGGGTCAGGGAAAGCCTGCCTGAGAAGGTGATATTTGAATCAAGACCTGAAGGATTCTAACTCTCTTCCTCCATGGGGTTAGAATCACAGACACAGAAGGGCTGAGCCAGGAGGATAGAGATCAACCAGTCCTCCAAGATCCCTTTATACTGAGGATCAGAGAGGGCAATGAAGTGCCCAAGGTCACACAGCACAACGGCAGCAGAGCCGAGCAGGAGTTAGAGATAGCCAGGATCTCTCTCTGCATGCTTGCTGCCCCCAGCCTGGGGCACTGCTGGGGCCCTGGGCAGGACAGTCTGGCCATTGTTGGACAGTCTGGGGGCTGGGCTGAGCCTGGGAGTGCAGCACTCACAGCCATTTGACTCTGCCTTTTGTAGACAAGGGGCCCACCACGTCGTGTTTGAGGCTGAGGGTCGGGGCTCAGGCCCTGGTTGGAGGACTGCAGGGTGCATGTGGATGGTGCTGTGGGCTGGGGGGTCTGCCCTCAGTGCCCCCTGCCCAGTGTCATGGTCCTCTGGCTCCCTTACCACCCTCTGTGTTCTCCATCTGCCTCTGGATGTCCAGGTCCACCAATGGCCTGACCTTGACAGCATGTTCTTCCAGTAGAAGCCCCTTTCTACCCCTCAACCCCCTCCCTCCTGACACACACCTGCTCTCCCGAAGGATGAGTGGCCTGGAGGGAAGAAGGGGCAGCCACGGGCATGGTGGCCTGTGCAGTCATGGGGCCAGGATGGGCAGACCCCAGGGCCTGGCTCAGGCCAGATGAGCTCTAAGGAGACAGATGAGAAAACAGAGCTGAGGGGGCTCAAACTAGTGGGCTGCTGGGTAGGCCATCCCCTCAGGGCCCTGGGGTGGTGGCGGAAGCGGTCCAGAGACCCTTAGGGCACTGTTTCTATTGAGCTGGAGAAGCCCGAAGCATCTGGGCTGCTGGGGAAGAGCACTGAGTCTGGAAATGGAGTTCAAATCCCAGCTCTGCTGCAGTCCCACAGTGTGACCTTGGGCAAGTCACTTCCCCTCTCAGCCTCAGTTTCTCTTCTCAGTGAAAGAGGAACAAGGATTCCTTCTTCAAAGGGATGCTGTAAGGAGCAAACGAGAGAAAGTGCAAGTGCCTGGCATACAGCCAGGCCCTGTCGACACTGGAAGGTTCTCCCTGTGGGGACCTCTGTCTCTGTCATCTACATTGTGGCCAGGGTTAGGGAGCACTCAGCATGTGTCAAGCACTTTAGAGGCTTTTTTTAGGACCAATGTTAATTGGATTAACCATAATCCTGGGTCTATGACCCACACTCACCAAGAGTCCATGCATGGCCCTTTCAAAAAAAATTTTTTAAAGGGATATCCCTTTTTAATTTATTTTTTATTTTTGGCTGTGTTGGGGTCTTCATTGCTGCATGCAGGCTTTCTGTAGTTGCGGCGAGTGGGGGCTACTCTTCATTGCAGTGCGCGGGCTTCTCATTGCAGTGGCTTCTCTTGTTGCGGAGCACGGGCTCTAGGTGCACAGGCTTTAGTAGTTGCAGCATGTGGGCTCAGTAGTTGCAGCACACGGGCCCTAGAGTACACAGGCTTCAGTAGTTGTGACGCTTGGGCTCAGTAGTTGTGGCTCGCGGGCTTAGTTGCTCCACGGCATATGGGATCGTCCCGGACAAGGGATTGAACCCGTGTCCCCTGCGGATTCTTAACCACTGTGCCACCAGTAAAGCCCTCAATTTTTAATCATACAATGAACACAGGGAACCCACTGCCAACCCAGAAACAAGGTTATTACCAGCAATGCTACGTGAATTAATTCATTTATTTCTCACATTTTAAAAAAGATTTATTATTTATTTATTTTTGGCTGTGTTGGGTCTTAGTTGCAGCACGCAGGATCTTCGTTGAGGCATGCGGGATCTTTCATTGCAGCGCGCGGGCCTCTCTCTAGTTGTGGCATGCGCGTTTTCTCTTCTCCAGTTGTGGCACGCAGGCTCCAGGACGTGTGGGCTCTGTAGCTGTGGCGCGCGGGCTCTCTAGTTGAGGTGTGCGAGCTCAGTAGTTGTGGCACGCGGGCTTAGTTGCCCCGCAGCACATGGGATCTTAGTTCCCCAACCAGGGATCGAACCTGCGTCCCCTGCATTGTAAGGGAGATTCTTTACCACTGGACCACCAGGGAAGTCCCTTATTTCTCACATTAATCCTCCTATACTTTGCCCCCAACTTGTCCCCATTTTACAGATGAGGAAATTGAGGCACAATTGAGGGTTCAGGGCATCCTCTCCACTGAATGGTGCTGGAGATTCATTGGGTACATTCTTCCAGTTGACTCCTGTTCTGCTCCAGAGCCCTAGATGATGAGGTTCCCACATGAGCCCCACCCCACCCCTGCCATGCTCTGTAGCTCAGCTCAGGGGGTTACAGTCATGGGCTCAGCCCCCACCTCCCTGCAGGGCCCCAGCTTGGATGCCTGGGGACACCGTGGGGAGTACCCTGGCTGGCCCCATGCTCCCTGCTGGCCTCCCCTGGCCTCCTCTCCCCGTCACCCCCCACCAAGTGCTTCCTCCAGCCCAGCTTGGTGACGTACGAGCCTGGTGCTCCTAGTCAGTCTCCTATTCTCCTTCTAGGTGCTCAAGAATAAATGAAAGAAATGAATAAGTGAATGAAATGAATGAAGATGCTAAAAGGGGAAAAGGGATATGAAAAGAAAAAAATATAAAGCATTTCTGAGGGCTGGCAGGGAGAGGTTGGGGGAAGGTGGGGTGGGACTTAGTGTTGAAAGATGTCCCTTTGCCAGCTGCTGCAGTCAGGGAGCCGCTGTGCCCTTTGGTTGTGTGGATCCGATCCTCAGATCCTACTGCCCGTGCCCTGACCCTGAGTCCTGCCCCTCCCCCATGGTGACTTTCCAGATACAGTGGCAGCCACAGGTTCCC